AGGGATTTTTTAAACCTTTATCAAGAGGGTCATTGTGTTTTATATATGGGGTTAATTAAGATTATTTTGCAGGAATTATGTCTTGCGTTTATGAGAGGCGTGCATTAGATTTAACATACTTGAATCGTTGTTTTTTTGAATTTACGGCTAGAGAATAAAGGGGGATGTGTTTAAACACGAAGGCGCGCTATAAAAGGAGCCTTATGTCCCACTGGACCATTTGTCAATCAACCGTCGTGTGATGTAGAACTCTTAGAGTGAAGTCAGCTTGAGCTACAGCTACTCCAATGCAGTGAACAGCGGGCGCATTCCTCAAAATTGTTTTATGTTTTCATCACAATACAAGAATTTTTGAGATTTGTATTTCCTTTCTCCAATGGAAACTGTCTTTATTTGTGGTAGTAAATTTGAGATTGAAGTAGGTGGTTCGCACGTTACCTCATGCCACCATGCTGGTGGAAGTAAACAATAGATATCTCATTAGCTCCTTTTGTTCGTCTACTAGCATTTAAATTTGACCCGCACACGTCAACGGTGAGTGACAAATGAGCCTAGGTCTTCCCGGGGAAGTCTTCTTTATATAGCGCGCCTTCGTGTTTAAAAGCTTTGAAAAATGAAGGATTGTTAACCAAAATCTTCTATTTAAAAATGCCCTTTAGAAATGAACACTAATATTTTGATTTGATGGTCACCGTTGCAAAAACCAATCCGGAAATTGAACGAGTGAGCGAAGTGAACGAGTGAGATTTGTGATAGAAATTGAGGGGGGCGTGAATACTGTAGGGACAGACTTTGCATTGCGTCTTGCGTTGATTCCACAAGTAGCTTTTATGATATAACTTTAGTTTTCTTGTGGTGATTTAATAAGAGAAGCTGAGCTTTATATACTTCTTTCTCACTAAGTCATTTCTTTTCCAGGACTTCTATCTTTTAAGGTCTACACAAGAGGTAAGTATTAAGCTCAATGGTCTTATGGTTGTATTTTTTATGTAAAGTTTAGTCTAAGTTCTAAATCAGATCTTTCAATGGTAGTTCATAGTTCTGTGGCAGGTCTTGGTGGTCATAAAAAATACAACCATAAATGTATTATGGTTGTATTTTTTATGTAAAGTTTAGTCAAAGTTCTAAATCAGATCTTTTAATAGGAGTTCATAGTTCTGTGGCATGTCTTATCAACTCAGTACTGTACTTCATAAGATGTTATTGTCATGGTGTGTAAAGATTGTTTTTACTGCTTTTCTTGAAAAGACATGTGGAAAGCTCAGTCTATCATGAGGGTTGTCGTGACATTTTTCAGTTAAGGTGCCCTTTTCGCCCAGTAGCATAAATACTGCTTACAAAATACTGCTGGTAGTCTCTTTCTACAAAGACCTGCCGAGTGCAGTTTGCCCATGGGGAAATTTGACCGCATTCATTTACTTCTCTTTAAGGGAAATGAATCCTCATGTATCTTCTCATTGTGGTGTCTTTCTTCAAGATAGTTGCTGTTCCTATGAATACTTTCTTGAAATCACGAAGATGTCATTTTCTTAGATGTGTCCAGATTATCATTCGTTGCTAGCTTCAAAAGAGACATGTCAAAGCCTTATCGATGGGGTCATTGTGTGGTTTCAGTTGTAGGGCTAATTAACAGTTATTCCACGAGCGCGCGTTGGATATGAGATGATAGATAGCCAACGAGGCGCGTAGCGCCGAGTTGGCTATAATAATCTCATATCCAACAAACGCGAGTGGAATAATTGTTTTATTAAAAACACTACATTAAATTATTAAATTTTATTAAATCCTTAGCTCCCTTTCAATTTTAAGCTTATGCGTAGGCTTACCCTATCGTAGTTTATGGTATATTGGCTCGTATACCATAATGGCTAAGCCAATGAAAAGTCTTGAATTGCATTATCCAATGATCCAGTTTTTAATAATA